TCGCACTGAACGATCAACCGTCCTCCAGTGCTGCGCTGTAATGGGCACGGTGCTTCATGCCACTGCCCCAATATAGCTGATAAACTTATTTGACCGTACAGCTTGTCCTTTCTTATTCCACTGTATGGCAAATCTTTTTCCTTCCGTTCGAGCTTTCACAACCTCTTGCATGACACAAAGGCCCCTCTGTATGCGTGCTGCCTCGTCTTGCAACTATCTCTCCTCGTCAGAGGTATCTCTTGGCTGAGATGGATTATTGGTGCTAGATCTGCTATCGTCTGCCATCTGCAATGAAATTCAATTAAACAAAATGAATTAGAATCCATTAAATGAAAATAAAGTCATTAATGACGAAATTGACTTTAACAAAATTAAAACAAATAAAAGAATCAAAGAAAATAATAAGAGAATTTACATGCATGTTTAAGAAGACCTTTTTCTTTTTTTACTCTTATGTTTTTGCATATTCTTCTTGGTTTGAATTGTTTTGATCTTCTTACGAAACACTTTCCCCCTCTTTGAAATCGATATTCCGTCATTGTGATCGTGCCTGACGTACATGAATTGATCTTCATTTAAATGAGAATCAAGTGATGTCCCTTGAAATGGATCATCTTCAACTGCATTGTCTTCATACCCCGTCTCTTCAATATTCATTTTATTAGTCAACAAAACAATAGACCATCCTTTAATAGCCAGGTCAGGGACATAAAATGCTTGTGTAGCTTGAGAAGCCAAAATGAATGGCTTTTCCTTGTATCCTTCCTTATTCAAATTCAATTGTATGAACCCTAAGTCATCAATCCTCAATGCATTATTATTATCTACCCACTTGCAACCAAATACCGAAACTCTGAATTCAATGTAATCCAACTCCCAAATATCCTTAATCACTCCAAAGTATGACATACGTGCATAGATAAGATTTTTATCTTTGGCACTCGATATATGCATGGTACTAGCTACAAGAGTTATGCCACTATTTTGCTGTTTACTTCGATCATCTTGCTGTTTAGTATAGAAAGTGAACCCACTGATAAGGTAGCTTGTGAAAGAAATCATATGTTTGCTTGGTCCATCTACTAACAACTTTAATTTCTTCGAAACAGAATTAGGATCATTATTATACTTGCCATGCACCTGCTCTCTCAACCATACTGTAAATTGTTTATTGTGTGTTTTGGTGTACCAACTTTTAAGTTTATTGGGATTATCCCTCTTTAGCTCATCAATATGCTCATCCACATAGTCCTCAATCTCTTCGGAGTTGTGCAATACGTATAGATGTGCCTGCTCCCATTGTTGGTTTGAAATAGTTACAACTTTCTTTCCTATAATCCCTTCTCCATCTGTCCTTCCCTCATGACGAGACATTGAAACCCCAATGTCACTTGCATTTTTTAAGTAATGGGTACAAAATTCAGTGGCCTCTTCACAAATATACCGTTCTACGATACAACCCTCTAGCCAACTTCGATTTTTCACATACCCTTTCAATATTTTCATGTAACGCTCAACTGGGTACATCCATCTTAAATACACTGGGCCACACAGTTAGACCTCTCTAACTAAGTGGACGGTTAAATGGACCATGATGTCAAAAAAGGCTAGAGGAAAATACATTTCAAGTTCGCATAATGTAACTATGATTCAGGTTTACAATCTTGGCAATTTACTAGGATTGATCACTTTGCTGCAAAGAGACTTAAAGAAGAAACATAACTTTGTGATCGTAACTCGCACCTTATCGAGTAAAATAGCCCGTATTGCCACTGGAATAAAGTTTTCCGTTAAGACATGACAGTCATGAGATTTTAAACCTTTTAACTTCATATCCTTTAATGAAACAAGGTTACTAATATTAGAAGAGTAACCTTCCAGCACTTTTACTAAAGCAAGAAACTCAAAAAACCTACTTTTCTCTTTTCAAGAAAGCGTGTGAGCTACCAGACGAAGAAATGTACGAGTTCTCTTATCCTCTGGTGCCAACTCCTTCCTTATCCCCAATTCAACCATGTCTAGCCTGGCATTTATGCCATCTTTAGTCTTCCCAGGAATATGGAATAATGTGCCAAACAGACTTTCACATACGTTTTTCTCAATATGCATAGCATCAAGAAAATGTCTCACATTTAGGGTTATCCAACACGGCAGTATGAAGAAAATAGACCTCTTCTTCCACCCACTTGTCCCAACATGCTTCACGAAAGGTTTTCTAAATTCACAATCTATATCTTTCACCTTTTAAAATACATCCTCCCCAATCAACGGTGTAGGTGCCTTACCTTCTTCTGAATTCCCATTGAAATATTTTTTGAATTGCTGGTAAGGATGATCACGATGCAACCATTTACGATGTCCCATATATGAATTTTTCATTCCATGCTTCAACCTTATGGAATCTGTGCTCTCTTCACAAATAGGACAACCAAGTTGCCCTTTAATGCTATACCCTGAGAGATTACCATACACAGGAAAGTCATTAATTGTGCCAAATAACATAGCTCTCAACTTGAATGTTTCTTCCTTATATACATCATATACATCAACTCCATTCTCCCACAATACTTTCAAGTCTTCAATTAATGGAGCTAGATATATATCTATGTCATTTCTCGATTGCTTTGGCCCAGAGATTATCATAGACATCATTGAATACTTGCGTTTCATGCATAGCCATGGAGAAAGGTTATACATAAACAAAGTCACTAGCCATGTGCTATAGGTGCTGCTTTGCATCCCAGATGGGTTCATCTCGTTGGTGGCTAATGCAAGGCGTAGATTTCTATCTTCTTCCCCGAATTCAGGATACTCAATATCAAACTTCTTCCATTCTGGAGAATCAGCGAGATGGCGAAGCATGCCATCTTTAACCCTTTCATCTGCATGCCACCTTAAATTTCTTGCATCTTCTACATTACTATACAAACGTCTGAATCTTGGCACAATGGGAAAATACCATAATGCCTTCTTCGGGCTCTTCCCATTCTCTTGGTAGCACGATGCATTACACTTAGGACACTCAGTTAGTGACTTATACTCCTTCCTAAACAAAATGCAATCGTTGGGGCAAGCATGTATCTTCTCATAGCTAAGGCCAATAGAGCGCAACACTTGCTTTGCATCATACGTTTTACTTGGAAGCTCATTTTCTTTTAATAGCATTTGTTTAACAAGCAACAGCAGTTCTGTGAAGCTTGTGTGACTCCACCCATTTCTTGCTTTTAAATTGTACAGTTTCAACACTACAGAAAATTTTATGAAATCAGTACAACCTTCATATAGAGGTGTCTCAGCATCACACTTCAATCTGTCAAACATTTCAGGACAATCATCAAGTTCCCGTTCAATCGCATTTGTCATCTCCTCAAGACGATCAGCTTCACATGTACTCATGCCAAGATTAGATGATCCACAGCTTTTACTATGCCCTTGACTACTATTACTCGCATCTCTTGTCTCTTCGTGCTTTGTCCAACACTTGTAACTTTGATCAATTCCATTGATAATTAAGTGGCTCTCACAATTGGATGGCGAAGCCCACTTTAGAAGGCAACACTTAAGACAGGGGTAAATAATCCTGTTGCGATCATCGGCGTGCTCAATCGCAAACTTAATAAAATGTTCTACCCCATCCCAATATTCTTTTGATAGACGATTAGCGGACATCCAATCCTTGCCTATGGTCCCCGACTAAGATGAATCATTTAGAGGAAAATGTGATCATCGACTCAAAGATATTGTGAGAATTAAACAAAAATAGAAAGTCAACACATGAGGCACTATTGATCACATTTATCCCTCTTTAATTCTACTTGTTAACAACTAGTAATTCTAGTTGTTAGCAACTAGTAATTCAACAAAAATTCACTTTTACTTCAGTTTGAAAAATATTCTACTACTACTGATGTGCTATTCCATTTAAAAAAAATTTGGCGGCATAACGGCTTATAACTTAGCATTCCTCAGGCTTTATGCCTTCTATTTAACTTCAAATGAAGTATTAATCAAGCAAAAAACCAGCAGTTAGTCAATTTCAATTACAGAAACAAAAATTGAAACATTAGCAATTTCGATTATTTACTAAACAATTTATGGCGAAAACAAAAATTGAAAATACCCTAAACCCAAAAACTGATCAAAATGCGAAAGACCCATTCAGCCGAACAAAAAAAACCCATTTTCCGTGTGAGCATTGTGAACGGTCCTAACATCATCCTATCATCCTCTTTCAACTACAATCATTTCGAAGGAAGCACTAAAGGAAATAAGGGAAGCGAGTGACGAAGGAGGACCAACCTGAAGCTATCAAATCTGGAGAACAACGCGTGACAACGATGATGCAGGAGGACGCCGCAGTGATGAAGGAGGACACAGAGAGGGACGATGATGGAGGACGATCAATAAAAACAAAAGGGAAGGGCTGAAAATGAGGTGGGTATGGCAGCTTAGAGAGTTCGAAGCAGAAGGGGGCGCTAGAAATTTTGAACTGGGCAGAGCAAAATGAACAGAGGAAGGGGTTTTAAAAGATAATACTTGACAATTTCTATGTTATAACCATCAAGTATCTTACAATAATATTTGATGGTTTTAGTAAAAAACCATCAAGTATTATCAAACTTGGCAGTTTATGGAGAAACCGTCAAGTTTACCTCAAAGATACTTGACGGTTATAACATAACCGTCAAGTATTGTTGGAGAATATTTGACGGTTTTTTTAAAAACCATCAAGTATTTTCCCATGAAACTTGACGGTTTCTATTAAAACCGTCAAGTTTTCTCCCTGAGATACTATATTTGACGGTTTGTTGTAATAACCGTCAAATATTTAGCGTCAAGTATTCCTCACTCTGTAGTAGTGTGAACAAAGTGGAGATAATTCACTGACATGACCGAGTAATATATATAACCATCCTGCTTCCTTCCCCTTGCAGATCCTATTATTTTCTCTCCTTATTCTCCCTATAGTTATTTAAGTCAATAATTCAACTTTCTTCCTAATGGCAACTTCTGAGTCATCTTCTTCACTTAGATCACTGGGAAGGACCGTAGTCTTAGCACTATATGTAGCTTCCTTGATACCATTCATTCACAGCACTACAGGATCCCACTTTACATCCATCTTTAGCTTTGGTGACTCCCTTGCTGATACCGGAAACTTGTACTTCAACTCCCAACCACCATGGTCCCATTATTGCTTCTTCCCTCCCTTTGGCCAATCTTACTTCGGTCACCCCACCGGAAGGTGCTCTGATGGCCGTCTTATCATCGACTTTATCGGTAATATATAACTCTTGTGTTTCAAGCTTTGCGGCTTGCCCATTTTGTTAGTTTCCTTTTCTCATGGTATAGAGTCAGTAGCTTAGTCACCTTATTAATTAGTCCACTTGCCATCAATACATTAAACACACTTATTATTACTAGCCAGAAGCATCTATTTGATCGATTTGATTGTTCTTTTAATCATGATTGACTTAAATGAGATGTTTCATCATTCTTTCTATTTTTGTTTAAGAAAAGAATGCATAGACTTCTCAAGAGAAAAAGATATGACAACAATAATAAGTCTTATCCCACTAAGTTGAGTCTACTATATGAATTACACGACGTCATTATACTCTATCAATAAAGTCTAATTCAATGATCTCATTAAGCGTTCTCCTTGGTCTTTCTCTGCCCTTTTTTAAAGGATTTCAAATTGTCTAAGCTACCATTCTCACCGACGCCTTCAATGGCTTTTTCTGCACATGCTCAAACCACCTTAGATGGTGTTCAACCATTTTCTCTTCGATAGGCATCACACATACTCTTACTTAAATATTTTCATTTCGAATCTTATTTTTTCTTATATGACCACACATTCATCTCAACATCCTTATTTCTACTACCCCAATTTTATGCTCTTATTTTTTCTTTAAGGCCCAACGTTTACTATCATATAACACAGCTGCTCTTATAGCAATCTGATAGAATTTTTTCTTAAGCTTCTCAAGTACCTTCTTATCGCAACTAACTCTAGTAGCCTTCTTCTATTTTAACCATCCAGCATGTATTCTATGAGAAACGTATCCATCAATTTCATCATTCTCATATATAATGGATTCTAGATATTTGAACTTTGACACTTGAGCTAGGAATGATTTGATCTTAACCTCCAAATCACCACTAACTTGCTTTCTCCTAAAATTGCAATGCATATATTCTATTTCGCTCCTGTTCAAGTGAAAACTTTTTCCCATAACTCTAATCTAAAGCCAATCTCTTCTATTGATTAGTCACAAGAACTATATCATCAGCAAAAAGAACTTTGCACCAAATATGTATAATTTGATTATTAAAAGAGTCTAAATAATATCAGCATAAAATGTAAATAACATAAAGAACTGCAGTGTCTTAGACTTTGTACCAATATATTAGTCCTACTGTAATTATTGCGAGTCCAACTTTGCTCAAAACTGTCAGTGTTATGATCATTAGTGTCTTGGACGTAACTGAATTTTATGAAAAGAACTAATATTGAATATTATTTGTTCTTGGGCTGTGTATATATAGCTGAGTCTCTAGGGATGGAACTACTGAAACCGTATCTGGCAATCAAGAAGGGAGAAATGAAAAATTGGAAGGGAGAAGGAGGAGTGAACTTCGCAGTTGCAGGAGCAACGGCTTTGGATGCAGATTTCTTTGAAGAAAAGGGAATTCCTAGTTTTCTCACCAGTAATTCTCTAAGCATTCAATTACGTTGGCTCAAAGAGTTATTGCGTATTCTTTGCAATTCTTCTTCAAGTAAGTGTGCATTATTATTAATTCTTTTATATTTAGTAGTACATGAAAAAAATATACCAATTCAAAGGTTTTGCAGGCTTCGTGTTATCTATTAAATGATGAAATAACTTACAATATTCGACTAATAAATTTGCAGGCTGTAATAAAGTTCTTGAGAAGTCATTATTTGTGGTAGGAGAAATTGGAGGCAATGACTTTAATAAACCTCTTGTTGCGCGAAGAAGTCTAGAAGAGATTACAAGTTTCGTATCTCATGTTATTAATGCAATATCTTCAGCAATAAGTGTAAGATTTCTTAGGCCATCTCAGGTAGCATAATGTAAGATTCTAGAAAGATAAAAAAATTACTTGGTCTTTATGATTTTAATAAGTTAATTTTATGTGTATATAGCAAAATATGAGATTTGTGAATTTTTTTTCTGGTTATAATTAAACTATCTAATATATTAGATATTAGAGTCTAATAAGGATTCAATTTGGATTAGGCTTCAGTTGAGTGGAAACTTTTTCAATGTAGTAATTTTCTCATCTAAAAAGTAAAAAGTTTGAACTCAAGCTCATACTTAAGTGTTTGCTTACAAATACACAATGTAGTTATTAGTTGTTACATCAATGGACCCAATGTACATACAGCAATTAATTGTGGACATTTAGTAAGATGCACCTGAAAGAACGGTACTCCTTCCGGTACTAAAAATAAGACTTTTTTGACAGTATAATTTATATTACAAAATGAGTCTTATATTTAAGACTGGAATAGTATATATTTTTATTACCTTACCTAAATATCTGTAAGTATATTAATATAAAATATTAAAATATAAGAAGATTATGGTCTACATAAATGTATAGAGGCAACCTAATTTAATTTTATGTGGAATGAAATCGCTTACAAATTTTTAGTCTTGCAAGATTAAAGAGAAATATTTCTATGTCTCTTTAACTCCACTCAACATAACATCTAATTCATTAAGTTTTTGTGTATACAGTTTTTGTATCCTAGAATTTTTCTTGGATAATTTCAATACACAATGAAGTTATTACTAGTTGTTACATCATGGGACCCAATATACATACAATAAATTAATTAGGGACATTTAATGAGATGCACCTGTGAAAACCTGCAAGTATTATTAATATAAATTATTAAAAAATAATAAGAAGACTCTGGTCTACAAATTTGTATAGAGAGGCACTCTAAGTTTTATTTTTATATGGAATGAAATCTCTCACTACTTTTTACCTTGTAATAGTTAATTTCTATCCATCTTTAATTTTATTCAATATAATATATAGGTCATTAAATAATCTTTGTATATCCTAGAAATTTTCTTGGATCATTATTTCGGTATGAGTGAAGTTGTATCTATGTGTTGGCCGGAGTTGATTGATGTAGGGGCTAAAACCCTAATCGTTCCGGGAAATTTTCCAATAGGGTGCATTCCATCGTACTTAACAATGTATGCGAGCAAAGATAAGAATGAGTACGATGAAGCTGGCTGCTTGAAGTGGTTAAACAATTTTGCCGAGTACTACAATGAGAGGCTCCAAGCTAAACTAAATCAGCTTCAATTGCTTCATCCTCATGCCAAAATTAGTTATGCTGATTACTACAGTTCTGCTTTGCCACTATATCATTTTCCCACCAATTTTGGTAATGTTTCCCTATCTTCATCCACTTCTTCTTATTATAGTTGGTTCATTTCAAGCATCATAGTAGTAGTAGTCGAAATACACTTATCAACATTTTGTAAAAAAATTTTTACCTTTTAAATTGAAATACCTCCTTTGATTCTAAATGTAAAAGTTTGATTACTAATGTGCATGTATTAAAAAAAATTAATTAAGTTGGCTATTTATAAAAAAAACCAATGTTTTAGTTGATAAAATATCTATCTTAATTATTTGTATTGAAAACAACTCCCTTGATTAAAAATCCTCTTAATTATATGTGTAATTAGTAGGAAGAGTTTCAGAAAAAATTATAAATTAATTAGGAGACAAATAAAAGTAGATTGAAGTCTTATATTTATGATAAAAAGCAATAATCCCCTCTACTAGCTTTTATATTTAGGACAAAAGGGAGTATACATTTTTAAGATCCGTAGGAGAAAATAAATTTTGTTTTTCTCAGAAAAAGGAACTGCCAATGTCACGTGATTGTCTTGATGGGTTGGTTTGAGGAGTGTCCCAAATAAAATGGCTTGTCTTCTCATGTCTCACCTTCTTCCTCTACTTATATCAGAATATAAAATAACCTAGATTAAATTGGAATAATAGTTTAGATTTATTAACTTTGTTAGGTTTTGATATCTCAGTATCACAAATTAAACAAATAAAATTACAGGTTTTTCAGGTCTTAAAGCTTGTTGTGGAAGTGAAGGTCCATATAATTTCAATGCTTCATTAGGAAAATATGGGGAAGAAGGAGTGAAAGCCTGTGATGATCCTTCAAAATACATTAGCTGGGATGGTATTCATATGACAGAAGCAGCACATAGATGGATTATCAAAGGCTTATTATCAAATAATGGACACTGCCACAATGTTGCTGATGACGAACTTGATACCTTATTAGATCCGATGAATAATGTTAAATCTGAATGTAATTTCAATAGCCAGCTTGAGTCTGTTTCAAACGATTTAGCTTGTCTAGCTTAAAGTTCTGACGGTTCATGTTCATGTATTTACAAATAAGTAGTGGATGCTTATATTCAATGTGAACAAATAATTCAATATATTGTATCGCTTTACTGTTATTATAAATATGATGCATATGAATTAAGAAGTACGATGAAACGTATGTTTTACAAGTTTAAGAAGTATTATTTCCAAGTTATATGATTGTCGTATATAGAATTTCTTCGTTTGAATATGGAAGTTTACAAAAATTTCACTGTATCTGGGGACCTAAAGTAACCATTGTCAACTTTTTAACAACTATGCATGAAGAGATTTATTATCTCTTCAGAGTAATTTGATGAGAGAAAACAAAAGGAATCCAAGAGAAAAGTTGGGAGGAAAGAAATTTCTTACTTATTTGATCTCATGTCATCATTTATAGCAAAACTACATAAAAATGCTCTTTGTAATGTCCCAACCTCTCAATTGTTTTTTTTTTCCTTTTTATCATGGCCTCAGGATAAAATGAGAGACATGACATTGTGATATTTTATAGTAATCAAACGGTATGATTGTGCATAGGGTACACTCAGGGTACCATGTCACACATTTGCTCTAACCAATAGAAATGAAACAACTTAGATGATTTTAATCCTATGTGGCAGTGATTTCATTCACATCGTTTCAAATTTATTTTTTTCTGTGAGAAATAAAAAAAATCATATATATACTTTACCCTTAGCTTCAATTTGTCTTCTTTTTTTCCTTGTTCTTTTTTTCTTTTAGTAGGGGCAACTATACAAATGCAGGCACATACACTACAAGATCAAATCTGTGACATTTCCTCTACGATAAGGATTTTCATGCCTCACATTATATTGTCTAGAAGATTTAATTCTTGTTGATTTTTTTTTTGGGTTTGCGTACAGATAATTTTTTTTATTGAAGGCAATCATATTTAAGCTGTTGTCATGTACCAAACGTAGGCAACTATTTTTAGTAGAAATTCAAAGTTTTTTTTTTCATTACAAAAAGTTTAAGTACTTTGAGTCAAAAGGGCTTATGAGGACTAGAGCATGCTTTCAAGCTCAAATAGTATTTGCAGAGACACTTATAAAACGCCCATCAACAAAGTCATCATATTAGTAGTAGGACTTGAACTTGTAACACTTCACATAATTATATCCATATATGCGATAAAAATACTTCATTTAAAAGTTCATTTGTATTTTTAGCATTCAAAACAGGTCATAATTTCAAAACATTTTTCTGACATAACAAAATAAACTATTAAAATCTTATAATAATGGCAAATAAAAATATAACATAGCATGTATTTGAGGAGCATAAAAGTCTTTACGGCTCACTCCATTGGTGCCTTCCCTTGATTCCTACTAGATCATTCACCTGAAAATGTTAATATAAGGGATGAGATCTAACGTCTTAATAACTACTGAAATTCTAACCTATACAAGCAAATCGTACATGACACACTAAAAGCTGATGATATATATATTTGTGTATGAAAATCACAGATTTATACGTTCAACTCAATTTCATTTCCAATTTAATAATATACCAACATTATTTTCCAATATACAAAAATAATGCAATATGCATCCCCCTTATATCATTATCTACCTTTATACTACTGACTGAAGCCATAAACTAACACAAAGTCTAATAGGAACTAATCCATTTTACTGAATTATTCCAAACTCACTGATACTGGAGATATATCCAACCAAAGATATAGAGCTCAAGTTCGGACTATGACTCCCCTCCTTTGCAAATAAAATAAGGAGGTGTCACATGTCCCACAGCTCCGATACATTCCTAACCAAAGGAAAACATGGAAGAAGGAGTCATGACAAATGCCATTCACTAATTTTATATCCATACAAATCTTCTCCTATTCTTAGCCTAACAATGCATATGTCATATGTAAATAATGTTACATCAGAAGTACGTCTTCAAATATATTATTAAAATAAGATAGCAGTAAAATTTTTGTATCAATAACTATCAATATATTTAAATATTGATCATAATTAATAGCAATAAATCTTAACAAATTAAAGTAGCATATTAAAATATTTATTTGAAAAATCATAATATATACATATACTTCAATATGGTATAATAAAAATTAGTAAATCCACAATATAATCCTACACAATTCACATATACATGAAAGAATTTTTAGAGTTACTTGGTACTTTTTAGCTTACAAATATTTGCACAAAGATTACTCTTAAATTCTCAAGAGTCTACAAAATTACACATAAATATTTATTAATATAAAACTCAAAACTATTTCAAAACTACTCTAAAATTTTAAGACTACACTTTAAACTAAAATTACAAAAATATATTAACTCTCCCAGATCTAGCTGTTTATAATAGATATAATATTATTTTGAGAATATAATTTACATATAAGACTATTTAAATTTGATAACTTAAATAAATATATTTTCATTATTCAAAATCTAAATATTTTATATTAAAATTCTCAATTAATAATTTTTCAAGCCTTCAAAAATTATTTCAAAAATATATATTTAACCTATTCAATATTCAACTTAAATTTAATCGGTTAAAACATTCTATATGTCTTTGAATAACAAATTTTTCAACTAAAAATCTTAATTTAAAATTCTCAAAAAAATCATTAAACAAATATAAATTGATTAAAATAATAAAATTCCTTAATAATATATCTATAAATTTCTACGATTATATATTGTCAAAACTCTATATTTACTCCATACCCAAATGGTAAAATTTTCTCTAAACATTATAATGAAACTAATAATGTAAAGCTCTAAACATATAGAAAATACTCATAAAAAATTTCATAAAAAGAAGTAATTTTATGTATCTAAATAATTCTCAAAACTTGTCACGTACTCTGCAACGCAGCTGGCTTGCTCTCTTTTCCTCTTTGCCCCTCGCTCTCTCTCTCTTTTTACTTCTCGCTTAAATGAAGGGAAGAAGAAGATTGCAGATATTTAATATCCTCATATTTGATTATCTTCCTCGATTTTCTTCTGCCTACAACTTATCCTATCCTTCTTCACCTACCCCTCCCCTTGTTTTCTTCTTCATTAATTACTCTCCTCCTTTTTCCACTGTCGCTAGAAAAAAGTAGGGTGGGTTTTTTTTTTTTTTTGTAAAAATAATAAAATAATACTTTAATAATTTTTTAAGATTTTTTTAAGAATTACAAAATTCTTTTTTAAAAAAAATAGCATGTTACAGAACTTACGACTTGTAAGTTATGTTTGAGCCAATTAAGATAAATTCTTGTTGACAGAAATTCAAAGTTTAGTGGGTCACGACGCTAATATTACAGGCTCTTAACTCATTAGCAAGTGGTCCATGAGAAACAGATATCCCCCCAAAAATCGGGGCTCAAAGTTTTGGGAAATGAGTTCGCACCAAAAATGGGCCAGATATCATGATGGGATTGTCTTGCTTCAGTTTTGAGCCATGGTCCAACGGGAAGTGTGTAAATTAAGTTTATTTTGTTCTTAGATTTTGCCACATTGTTTGTTTATCAAAAATATATTTAATACAATACTATTAATTATCTTTAAAATTAAGAAGAATTGAAGATATATTCCAAAAAAAAATACCAAACTTTAAATTTTAAAGATAGATTTGAGTGTACATTAGTTAAGTATGTTTGGTCTACAAATGTTTTTATGCATGAGGAGGAATTGAGTTGAGCTCTTAACCTAATTCTACACTTTCCTCTGTCCTTACCATTTGAGCTAACCTCGTATGACTATTTCATCCAAATATTAAACCTGTATTCTCCTTTAGGTCTTATACAAAAGTAATAATTAACAAAATCTAAGCATCAAAGTACTAAGAAGTGTCTAAAAATGGTACTCCTCCGGTCCTAATTATAAGACCCAATTGACTTATTTGAGGAGATTAAGAAAGTAAGTTAAGTTGGTTATTTATAATAAATAAGTGTTGTCATTTCTAAAATATCCTTGCTAATTAAGTATATTGGCTAAAACTATCATTATTAGAAGGATTATCTTGAAAAAAAATGTATAAATATAAGAGACAAAATGGATTGGGTCTTATAATTAGGACCAAATAAAAAGTCAAATTGGGTCTTATAATAAGGACCGGAGGAGTAATTCATTATATGGTTAACTCCTCAACTTTTCTTGCATATCTTATGATCATTTCTCCAAAGTATTTATAGTTGTTATACTACATATATATTTTGTGTAACACCTTATTTATAGTTCTCAAACCTTTTGGAAGTCTAACTAAGCTTGTATGAAACAAATGTCAATTAAAAACTATTAATTTCAAAAACATTCTCCTCGAGCTAAGTTACTATATATATTTGGTATTTTTCCTATTTTGAAGTTAAGTTTGAAACTTTATAAGTAATTTTAAAAATAATTTCGACCTAGTTCTTCTTTCATTTAAAAGTTTGAAAAGTTTATAACTATAACTAGAAAAATTATCATTACAATTTATAGAATGTGGAGCCCAATATTTTCGTGCAGAAAAAAGGAATCCACTGCTCATCTTTTAAAAGTATAAAATATTGAATTGATTATTTAAATTATTTTAAAATAATATTTACATTAAATAGGGTTATTTAGGTAAAAACATACGTTTAAAAGGTCAGCTATAAAACTTGTAAAAAAAATCACAACATAAAAAATTGAGAAGGATTTTTTTGGGAAAAATTCAATTGTAAATAAAAATTAATATTATAATTATAATATGTCAATAAACTAGCTAATACGCGTGGTAATGAATTGCTAAACAATTGTGATAAATCACCTAAAAGAGATGTTAGATTAATTAATTAATTAAGTTTGAATTTTAGAAAAATTTTGCTAATAACAGCTAAAACATTATGTCATATAGCTAATACGTTGTAATGCATAGCTAGAGACTGTCGGAAACATGTGGTTGAAAGACCATAATTATCTTATACGCTGTGTTATTTTGCATTATTTAATTAAATATGTTTTAGAGGTCCAATCATTGAGCAAAATTTTTTGCGAACCACAAAATGGTATTGGTTTTGGCCACCTACTTTACTTTGCCTAATATCCAACTGGCATTAGTGTTTAGTGATATTTAGGGTTTTTTGGTTATTTGATGAAGGGTTTTTCTTTTCGAGACGTAGAACTCAAAAGGATTGAATTGGTATTACTGATATTTAGGGCACGTAATTGGGCTTTTGACATTTTAAGATTTTTTTTAATAGAATTTTCTCATTTTTTAAGTATAAAATATTGAATTAATTGTTAATGATCATTCTTTTGGTCTCGCATATAAATGTTTATTGAAGGAATGATATGTTTATATAAATGGTTTATTTAAAATTTTTAATATAATTTTTCATTTTTGTTTCTATTAATTATTCATTAGCTTTACCAAGGAAATAATTTTTGGTACTCATCATAGTGATGAGTATCTTGGTGCTTATTATTATAATAAGATCTACATTATTCAAACACAGTTATTAACAGAACCAGTTTCGTAATGATGGCTACCATAGTACTCATCAAATTTCAACTATTCAAATCTAATAAGAATTGTCAAGATTTATTTTTTTATTTTTTTATATTTTTTAAAAATGTTTTACTTTATCATGTACATAATCTGAAATAAATGTAATATATTAATCGTAAGTTTTTTAAAACATAATTTTTTATTTAAACATTAGTTGTTAAAAATTTTAAATTTAAACTATTAAAATTGCATCAGATTTTACCACAGGATGAACCCTGATTCCTTGTTCATTTACGCTCTCTCTAACTCATTGTGCTGTTTTTCAAAAGATAATTATAGTTTATATGTTTATTATTTTTAATTAATTTATTGCCTACGTAACTCAATTATATGTATTACATTTAAAAAAAAAAAAGAAGAAGAAGCAGAAGTGTAGTAATTGTCATGGACTATACTTTGACCAGGGAACTTTGTACTTGTACATCACTCGTCTGAAAGAACAGGGAGCTACATTCAATAGTGAGCATTCTCGAATATTGATATATATATATACAAATAACGGGTTACCTACCGCCAGCATGAACGTTGGTTTATTCCAAGATGGATTCTTCTGATTCATCTTCTTCACTCCGCTCTCTGCAACGACGACCAAGTGCCGAGGCACTCGCTCTACACGTGTTTGCCTTATTGTTTTTCATTCCCAGCATTACCGGACGCTCCTCCTACACGTCCATCTTCAGCTTCGGAGACTCTATTGCTGATACTGGAAACTTGTATTTCAGCTCCCAACCACCGATCTCGTGTCATTGCTTCTTCCCACCCAACGGACTGACCTATTTCCGTCGTCCCACTGGAAGGTGTTCTGATGGCCGTCTCATCATCGATTTTATCGGTAATACTCCGATTACGGTCTTAGATAGTTATTTTCCTGATAATCCATTCAATTACTGATGCTGTGAATTTGCTTCGTTGATTTCTCTCTTCCAAATTAGAAAAAAGCCCCCCCTCTGTTACTGTGTTGAACTGTGGTTCTGGGTTGTGTAGCTGAGTCTCTGGGGCTTCCATTAGTGAAACCATATCTTGGAATCAAGAATGGGCAATTCAGCGATTGGAAAATAGAAGAGGGAGCGAATTTTGCTGTTGTAGGATCAACAGCATTGGATGCAGATTTCTTCGAAGAGAAGGGGATACACAATGTTCCCACGAATGATTCTCTCAGAATTCAATTTGGTTGGTTCAAGGATTTATTGCCTTCTCTGTGCAATTCTTCCTCAAGTAAGTTTCTAGTTATTCCCTTATAACCTTATGAATATATAGCCTATACACTTGCTGAATTCTGTTCTACGCAATCCCATTTCGGTGAACCTAGACAACATTCATGAAACAGCAATTACATTTTGATCAAACTTCCAGTTTCGTTGAACATGAAAATTTTACACATTAATCGTTTTAATTATAGTTGATGTGATTTGATTTGGGTGATTTTCCTGTTATTACTTTTAATCAAATCCCTATATTTATTATTTCCTTAATTGTAATTATTCTAGAATAATCTTTGTATTTATCAGGATTGCTCTTTCCCTTGTGTATATATACCCTTTTATATAGTTTGTAGCTGAGTATCTAATATCCAGATTTTGGATATACTCTTAGTAACTTCATTGATCATTCTACAAAGAATAATGTGGCCATTTATTTTAGAGTGCATCTGATCGAAACTGCAAAAAAATCGGCTGAGATTCAAAAAGAATAAAATGCATTTCATGTTTCCTTATATTAAGTTTAATGAATAGTATACAAATTGTTTGTAGATCAATTCTTTAACTGTTTGATTCATATCTGTACCTGACATTCCATTAAATAAGGAAAAATGAAAATAGAAGGTTTCACAGATTCAAAAGTCTCTTTGATGAAAGCTTAGTTATACCTATATCTGAATTAATGTTCAATCTTGCAGGCTGTAAGAATATTCTTGGGAAGTCATTGTTTCTTGTAGGAGAAATTGGGGGCAATGACTTTAATTATCCTTTTGCTTTGCGAAAGAGCTTAACAGAGATTAAGACATACGTGGCCCCTGTGATTAATGCAATCTCTTCAACTATAAGTGTAAGATTCTTAAAATGCTATGCAACCTCTTTAGCTTGGAAAATGTAAAATTTTTGAAATACAATGCAAGAAATTCTTGGCTATGGCTTGTCATCAAATCCCAAGGCCCTAAGCTTTCCAAATGAGCACCAGGTAGGCATGTCTTATATTTACCTGGAGAGGCTAGGACCAAAAAAAAAAACTTAAAAGAACCCATATATTCCTCATTTCAGTTGGTCTTTCCCTTTTTTAGCTGCAGTGAATCGACTGAGCCGAACTGCTAACTGCTGAAAAATGTAAGATGTATGGGACTGCTTGTCTGAAGTAGTTTCTCCACTGATTTATGCAGACTGGGAGAGGGACGGGGGCCATGGTGCAACCCCTGTATCGCTCTCTCTCTCCAATAATCTTTTTGGACTGAGTACTTTAGGAGATCCTTTTTGTTATATGCACCAGGTCTGTCTTGAAAATATTTCATGGATGACCTCAGTTTAATTTTTGCTTGCAGGAACTTATTGATATAGGGGCTCAAACCCTCATGGTTCCTGGAAATTTCCCGATTGGATGCAATGCATTCTTTTTAACATTTTATCAAAGCGAAAATGAAAAGGATTATGATGAGGCTGGTTGCTTGAAGTGGCTAAACGAGTTTGCTGAATACTACAATGAGAAGCTTCAATCTGAACTAAATCAACTTCGAGGGCTTCATCCTCATGCCAATATCATCTTTGCTGATTACTACAATGCTGCCTTGCCATTATATCTTTCTCCCACCTCTTTTGGTAATAATCACAAATTTTCTACTAATATCTTATTACAGTTTCTTTAAAGCATTTTTGTAGTTGTAATATTCAGGGTACATTGGAGAGATTATTTTGTTTGAGCAAATTCCTTGTTTTGTGCCAAAAAAAAAAAAAAGAAACTTCAGAAAACGTTTTCCTTTGTCTGCCAACCTTGAGTGATTGTGGTAAAGATGTTGTGTTTGATTAATGCTGATAATTCCTAGTTTCTTATAAACAGATCTTGGTTCCCTGAAGCTTTGTCCCATAACATGTCTCTTGCAATTAGAAAGTTTTCTATGTATTGATCAAATTTCCTAGCAGATTGAAATCGAATTTCTACAACTAGTAATTCAAAAGGACTTAAATCCAGATTATGCTGCCACAGTTCCTTTTTTCAATATTACTTGAAGGATGCATCACTGCACTGACAATTCTGCAGCTGGTTCTAACCTACAAAATTGGACGGAAGTCTGATCCCAAGATTTGTTAAATCCTATGCAATAAATTACAGGTTTTACCGGCCTCAGAGCTTGTTGTGGAAGTGGAGGTCCATATAATTACAATGCGTCAGCCTTATGTGGAGATCCTGGAGCGCTTGCTTGCGAAGATCCTTCCAAATTCATAAGCTGGGATGGTTTGCATTTGACAGAAGCTGCCTACAGATTCATTGCCAAACGTTTGGTAATTGGACAAGTTGCTGTTCCTAAATAGTTTGGCAATCAGAAGAAGCTGGCGTGTCGGGTAGTACTAAGATTTGCTTATTTGATTTCAGAAAGATGTTGGGATATGCTCAGTCACAGAATCTGAGTTGTTGGCTAACACAACTGGGCTTCAAGTCTGTAAACAACTGGATTTTCACAATATCGTGATGTACACCGACTCTTTCTATGCTTTCAATATCTTGATGAGGGAGTGTGATATTAATCACCCATCCAGACCCTTCTTTCTGTAGATTAGTGACATGTTATGTGATTGATGGCATGTGGAGTTACACTTTACATGCATGGATGTTAATTGTTGTGCTGATTACTTGGTTGTTTGGGGGAATATTCTTTGAACATAAGTGTTGCTTGTCCTAGTTTTTGTCTGATTACTAGGATTACTGCCTGGTCTTTGTTACTTTTTGTATTAGTATCTGAACGAAAATACTCTGTTCCTAAATACTGCCTCGTATTTTATCAATGGTCTAATTTAAACAGTTTGTGATTGTTAAACAACAATTTGGTTATATGCTATTAATGGCTTGCAGGTTTGACGTCTTGCATCCGTGCCGGTCACGTTTTTGTGTTTGGGACGTGAAACTTCTACTAACAGAAAAAGGGGGTATGAATCTGAAAACGAGGAATATATAAATTATGCATGATTTTCGTATTCTATAGTTCAATGCAGAGAGCCAAAGTAACAACTTACACATTTAAGATATGGCTCAGGTGAGGTCAATGTCCGCTCGTCTACATCCATTCTTTTCACTGTCGGAGCTTGCCTGCCTTCGTTCACCGCCGCTCTAATTTGAATTTGCCATTTGCCGTTGTTTCTCTGAGAAGCTATGTTCTCTATCTTCTCTGCATGACTATCGAAATTTTGGATTTGTCTTTTCATTTTTATTATTAGGTTAAAGTAATTTTTTGTCTTTAAAATTTGGGTTATTTTGATTTTGGTTCCTTAAAATTTAAACATGTGGTTTTAGTCGGTAAAATTTAATCTGTTTTAAAATGTTACTATTTGAAAATATGACAGTATTAAAATCTGTTAAAATGTCATAAATGATATTACAGTGGTAATGTGGACTAATCAGATGGCCTAATTGGATTGTGTGGATAACATATTATACAAAAAGGGATGAGTTCTCAAAATACAAAGTAGTGAATAGCTCCTCAAATGAACAATGAGAAAAAGAGAGAGCTAAGTAGTTACGTTTTGAGGATCTATTCTATTTTTGCCCCCAATTTTGTGTTATCTATGCAATGTCTAGTTAGGTACCGTCCAATAAGTTCACATTACCGCTTTAATACTGTTTACAACATTTTAATAGATTTGAACACTCATATATCTTTAAGCACTAACGTTTGAAAATGAACTAAATTTTAGAGATTAAAATTATAGGTTTGAAATTTGAGAAACCAAAATAAAAATAAATCCAAATTTTAAAGACAAAAAAATTATATTAATACTTTATTATTAATATGATTTTATCAATGAGTTTTATTTTGGGGGAAATCAGTGAAAATTGAAAAAATTTGTAAAAAATCCCTATTTGAAAATTTATTTGATTAAAAAGACTTGAATTTGAATGAGTACAACTATGTTTCGTAAGTGCAACATATTTTTGGCTGTGTGCGGTATATTATGAATGATGTGTAACAATAATTAATACAAAAGTTATTTACATATAGCAGAAGATATGTTATACTAACGGATTATCCTTGCACGCTCTCAAATTCAGGTTCTTTTAGCTAATTAAATTTTCAAATAGGGATTTTTTACCAAATTCCCTTGAAAAATTTGTATTTAAAAATTTTAATGTTTGGAAGTACCTGAAAAAGAGTATAAGGCCTGTCAGAGTATAAAGGTAAGGATGCTTATAGGCCAGAAGCAGCCCGTGAAAAAATCAGCAATGAAAGCACTAATGATGATTATAAAGTATTCATCGCAATTTGAACCATCTAGACAGATTTTTTATAGTTTAGATTGAATTTAAATTTTTTATATATTTTAACCAACTTTTTGTTTTAATAGATATAAAATTTAAAATAAATATAATATCATAACTAACATATTTTTAAAAACTAAATTTATTATTGAAAAAATTGTATATTAAACATTTTAAATTTGAATAATCTATATTGGATTTTGAATGGTTTAAATTGCAATACAGTGATGAGCACATGATGCTCATTATTGTGATGAGCACTGAATGAAAACCCATCTAAAATGGGTAAAAAAAAGGGTTAATGACAAGATGCACAAGTACGAATTGAGTCTCAAGAGTTTGAGGAAGGGTTGATGAATTTATTGATGGAAATTAAATTCTTATAATTTTACTATACAAGCTCAGGATTCGCGTGTAATTACATTCTAGCCACGAATTTGCCAAGACTGATAACAGCCGACAAGCTTGATCTTTTATACACACACACACATCCTCAATATAGACAATAAAAAAGAAACCAGATTAATGGTCGTCATTCTTAATTTCTTATCCATGTGCAGATTATTTAGACACTTCAAATTATAGTACATGGCTTTTGTTAAGAGGCTTAGAGTCAGGTATATTGTTTTTGGGCTTGTAATTGGGCCTGCGGTAGATAGTCTTGGGCCCTGTTATGTATAAATAGTGGTCACAAAGTCCATCATTCTGAGTGCTGTATTCCGGCCATGTGGCCTTCATCAATAATATCAGTATTGTTCAGTTTCTCAGGTTCTTTACATGGTATCTAGTAGCCAGGTTGTTTGGGCTCACAAGAACTGAAGTTTAATGCCCTGATAGTCTACTTAACTGGTTGAAGTCTAGTGGATATGACAACGTCGTTGTAGAGCTATTGTCTCTGTCTCACTTTGTTGAAAACCTCAGTCGCTGATTGATCACATTGACCCATCATTCTTGAAGTTTCTTTCTTTTCACCTCAGGAGATTCTCACGTCTATCGTCATCCATATCTCCGGTGAAGGTCATTAGTAACGAATTCTTCTTATAGTCTCTGTTCTTGTATCTTCTTTCTTCTGCCAGTCCTCTGTTTCCCTCCTTTTTCTTTCAATTTTTCATCTGATATGGGCAAAGAAGATGATGCAGCATCAACCACCCATACCCTCGTGGATTTTACTCATCCTTTGTATCTCCATCCATTGAACACTTAGTCTATGACGTTGTTATCCCAAGTACTGTGAAGAGCTAAAAATTATTGGGTTTGGAGCTGGTCCATCAAGCTTGCCCTGCTTGCCAAGAACAAAAGGGGATTATTGATGGCACATGTACTAGAGAAGATCAAGATCCTAATCTTCGTGATCTCTAGGATAAATGTAATGTGATTGTTCTATCTTGGCTTATTAATTGAGTAGACAAGTAGATAGCCACCAGCATTATGTTTTCCAGTAGTGCAAGTAGTGTGGCTCAATTTGAAAGATCGGTTTCATAAAGCTGATGGTATGTGCATATTTGCTCTACACTAGATGATTAGTTCCATTACCCAAGGCACTATGAGCATCTCAGAATACTATACTAAGCTTAAGGATCTCTGGGACAAGTTCAATGCTATCATACCTCTCTCGACATGCAAATGTGACACTACCCAGCAGTACACCAAGACTATTCAGCAACAAAGGTTATTCTAATTTCTAACTAGTCTGAATGATAATTTCCATCAGGCTTGTACGCAAATTCTGCTTTAATCATCACTTCCCACAGTCAACTAAGCCTATTGTATGATCTGTCAAGATGAGTCTCAGTAGTATATCTCATTACGCACCAATAATCCATCTTTTGACAATAGAACTATGGCTGCTCGTGGTGGAAGGCAAGGAAGGGGCTGAGGACGAGGACGCAGTCAATCATTTGAAGAGTGCTCATATTGTCATCGAAAGGGCCACAAGAGAGAAAACTGCTATGAATTGGTTGGCTTTCCTACCAATCTTCGAGGGAGACCTGCTCAAACCACCAACACTAGTCATATTACTAGTGTTTCATCCTCACCCTCTACTTTACCAGGTCAGATACCCCTTACCCAAGAGTAGTATGACTAGATACCGAAGCTTCTACGAAAGGAACAGGACGATATTGCAGTAGGCACAACTGACTATTTGGAAGAAACCATCTCAAGTATGATTTTTGCTGTCCCTAGATCATTTTGTGAATCAAACTAGATCCTTGACTCGGGTGCCACATGCCATGTTGTGAATAATTTGAGTATGTTTACCATAGTAAACAAATATGTTGGTGCCATTAGAGTAATTGAGGTGCCTAATGGTGATAGGATGTTAATAACCCGTGTAGATACAGTTAAAATCCTTGACAACATTGTTTTGAAAGATGTTTACTATGCTATTGGTTGTTGTTATAACCTAATTTCAGTATCTAAATTAACAGCCAGTAAGGAATTTGTGGCTTCCTTTTATTCTGCTTATTGTACACTGCAGGAAATCTCAACTAGGAAAACAAGGAGGATTGGTAAACTCTATGGTGGTCTTTATATCATTGAAAGAGTTAACAAGATGGATAATGTGTTACATGTTTCAATTAAACAGACTACTTAGCATAACAGATTAGGACATGTCCCTATGAATAAGCTTTGATATTTTGAGTTGATTAGGAAAGAAGTTCCTGTTATTACTAATGAAAAGTGTATTGTTTGTTCTTGTGCTAAATAAACCTGTTTACCTTTTCCCTCTAGTCATTCTGTCACACATAGTTGTTTTGAATTGATTCATGTGGATGTTTGGGGAGCCTATAGGGTTCCTAGTTATAAGGGATTTCACTATTTTTTGACTGTCGTAGATGATTTTTCTTGTTGTACATGGACATTTCTTATGATTAATGAAAATGAAGCTGTTCATCATCTTAAGAATTTCTTGATTTATGTTGCTAACTAGTTTTCTTTTGCTGTAAAGAAAATAGGAATAGATAATGGATTAGAATTTGTTAAGATTGAATTCAAAACTCATCTCACTAGTAAGGGTATAGTCCATGAAACTTCATGCCCCTATACACCACAACAAAATGGGGTTGTAGAAAGAAAGCATCGTCACCTACTAGAAGTTGCTAGGAGCCTCATTTTTCAGTCACACGTTCCTTTAAAGTTTTGGGGGAAGCAATTCGCACAGCCACTTACTTGATCAATAAGACACCCTCCTTTGTTTTAGGGCATAAAACACCATATGAAATTCTCTATAATCATCCTCCAGATCTGTCATTTTTAAGAGTTTTTGGATGTTTAGCCTTTGTCATAGTTTTGGAAACCCATGACAAATTTTAGAGTCATACTATTCCATGTGTTTTCCTTGGGTATCCCAATAACCAAAAAGGTTATTCACTGTATA